ATGTAGTGATCACGAGCCAAAAGGAGGATTAACGACGGAGGATCCCCGATGGGCATCTATGCACCCACTGACAGTGCTTGCACGTTGCATCGCTTGCGAGGAGGAGCTTCCGTGGGCAAGGGAGCGTTGTTAAGTTAGCTGCGGATTTGGGGCCCCGGAATAGCCGCAATAGCGGGCTGCTAGGATTGGGTTTAAGGTTGGGCTTCTTTCCAGGCAAAATATCTCAACCATGCCCCAATCCCCACCTATGGGACTCGAACACGGCGCATCGGGTTCCCTTCCGCCTTGCCGTGGCCTCAATCCAGGTCCGTGCGCGGGCACTGCGAGTCCTGTTGCAAATCCTGGTAGCCTGCCCAGCCGCCCAGCTTCAGGAGGCGCTGCAAGATCTGCCACTGGCCTCCTTCCTGGCGTCGCTTCTAGCGGCGCGGGACACAGCCACTCTGGCAGCAGCGCTGCATTGCTGTGAGGTGCTTATGGCCCAGCTGCCGGACGTGTTCAAGCATGTGTTCTTGAAGGAGGGCGTGGCCCACGCCATTGAGCAGATTGCCTCGTCGGCACCAGCCTTGTCGGCAGGGTCCGGTAGCCCGGCGCCGCCGCCGCCTCCAGCGCTGTCCCCGCCGCCGATCGTACAGCGTGGAGCCTCTGCGTCACCTGCTGCAGCACCGGTCGAGGAAACACGCCGGGGTGGGTAGGCCGGCAGACCCAAAACATGCTCTCCATCGCATAGATATGTTTTGGCAGCCGCTGGGAATACTGTGCGTGGGCTGGGCTGGGAATATCATCTTGTCAAGGGCAGAGGGTAATGCCCGTTACGTGATTTGCAGGGGCCGTTACTTCGATGTAGCCGAGGCCAACGTTTCCAAGCTCTCTCGTGTGACAGCTGGCGTCGTTACTGGGACTTGATTGTCAGAAACTTACGGTTGCTGATTTTACGGTGTTTCGATGTCTGCTAGGGTGGTTGCAGCTTTCCTTAGGATTAATTATACAAAGCAAACCGCATTGTGGCTTTGGTTTCTGCCCTCGCAGTGACGCGGTCTTCGCTGTTGGCACTCGCCCGCGAGGACAAAACCCAGGGGTCACCATCAGCTGCTGCCGCGGCTGTAGCAAACGCGGCTGCACAGATGGCGGCGACAGCAGCAGCCAGCGCGGCGGCAGCGGCCGCAGCTGCTGCTGCCGCAAGCGCAGCCGCTGCTTCCCGCGTTCCACCTAGCAGCCCGGGTGGCGCCTCACTACGGGGGGCACTGGCGGCACGCGCTTTGCGCTTCAAACAGGCGCACTACGACACGGGATGCGGCGCGCCCCAGACTGAGGGCCTTGTGCGGGTAGGGATTGCGGTCTTGAGCTACGAACTACACAACTACAAGCTCAGCACATAAGGGGAAGCGTCCGTTTAAGCGGAGGGACCTATGGACTATTAGTTGCCATTATTGTGGCGCAAAGTTGAGGCGTTGTTGTTCTCCCCGTTCTTAAGGCCCGTTCTTAAGGCGAAGGCAATTACTATTTGAGGTCATCGTCCCACACATCTAGGTCCTCTTATCGTGGACATCGTGCCTTGTCTAAGGGAAATCTTATACTTTTCCTACCACATGGGCTTCACTCATGTTTACCAGTTGGCCCACAGTTGGCCCAAAATTAAAAGCTCTCGCCTGGTGAAATCTGTGCTCACACCATTTTTCCAGTTTCGTGGAGTGATCCCTTTCGTCATTATTTCCTTAATGGCTGTTAAGCTGCTCTGAGTCGTTGCGACTGCGATCTATTGCGGCGGAGCTGACGCACGTGCTGTTGTTGCCGTACCACCCCTGAGCAGGTCCGGTTCCTGCTTCAGAAGCTGCCATCGGAGCCCACAGCCACTCTGAGTCAGCTGCTGGCGGTGATGGGCGCCTCCACGGCGTCATCCCATGCGGCCCTGCCGGCGGGATCCCCCGGAACGAGCTGCATGACTAGCGTGTCTGTATTTGAGCTCCTGAACAGCGGTAAGTCGAGGGGGCTGGCTGGCAGGAGGCGCCCCTGCCCGGGACATTGACTGCGTTGGGATATAATGGTAATGCGCCGGCCAGGGCCGCGTCATTAGTTTCCCTGGCTTGAAGCAACTCTTCGTTATTGTAAGGACTGCTTGCGCGGTAACATCTTGCTTCTCGTTGACGGAGACAAATTGGAGAAAATATAAGCAATACTTCTTGAACTTATGAACTTTAGCGAAGGGGAAAGGGAACTGTTTTCGGTGCTCGTCTTGCCAAGCAAGTATTAGAGGCGAAAATCCGCGATACATAAGGTGCTGAGCGCGCTTAGAAGCGGGCGATAAGTAAACCAGATGGCCTTTAGCGGTGATCTCATCGTCTATTAATGCATCACGTAACAATGCGCTGCGCCTGGGCTGCGTAACGCCCGCAGGCGCGGTCAAGGCGTTGTATGAGTTCTTCACGGGTGCGGATCTGCCCACCGCCACTAGCGCTGCGGCCGCCGAGGAGCGGGCCACAGCCATCCTGCGGCGCATCGCGGCCCTCACACGGGCGGGTTTGACTCCCGCCGAGGGGTCGCCTTGCAATCCACCGCTAGTCGGCCTGGTGCGGAAGCTCGAGGCGGCGCTGTCGAGTGTGGAGACTTTTCCGGTGCATTACGGCCGCGCTGTACCGCCTTCAAGCTCTGGAAGCTTCCGCAGCGGCTTTCCTGGCGGCGGGTACGGTAGCCGCGGGGGCAGTGCCGGCAGCGCCAGCGCGATGAACCCGGGCAGCCTCAGCAGCGGCCTTTCGCTGCTGACGCACCCCTTTAAACTGCGGCTGTGCCGGCATGGAGCCGACAACACGCTTCGAGATTACTCTTCGAACATAGTGCTTATTGAGCCGCTAGCGACTATGACGGCGATTGAGGAGTTCCTGTGGCCGCGCGTCTACCGCGGATCAGCCGGCCAGCAGCAGCAGCAGCAGCAGGGGTCCTCAGCAGCAGCGCCTGCCGGCTCTGTGCCGGTGCCGAAGGCGACCACTGGGGCTGCGGAGGGCAGCGGAAAGGGCACAGGGTCCGCATCCGCAGCCTCGGGAGCAGCACCTGGTAACGGCAGCGGCGCTGCCGGCGGTGGAGCAGACGCGGCGGCGGCGGCGCCGGCGGCGGCAGCGGCCTCGCGGTCGCATCCCATTCCGGTGGATGACAGCGGTGCATCGAACCGCCGCGTGACTCGCTCCCAGGTGCGTCCGTGATCTCGATTCGTTACTGGGTCGGTGGAATTTCTGGCGCCCAGAAACTGGACAAACTGTTGTGGGGTTAACAGAGCGGGTGCATGCGTGAATCAGGGCGTGAATGCCAATTGCCTTTTCCATGCAGGCTGCTCGCGAGCGCGCTGAGGCTGAAGAGGCCGCTCGGCGGCGCGGCGCCGTGCCGGTTCCTGCCCGCGGCGGAAACCGCCGCACCTGCAGCACCGCCGCCGCTTCCAGTCACGACAAGGACGCTGCTGGAGGCGCTGCTGCTGACTCTGCGGGGCCAGCTGTCGCCGGCGCTACCGGCACTGCTGGCACAGTGGATGCCGCGGACCGTGATCACAGAATGACAGATGTGGGCGACGACGGTGATGAGGATGACGATGCCCGGAGATTGGGCCGCCGTAGCTCCCGGGGGCGTGTGGGCGGTGGCAGCGGCGGCAGCGAGCCGGAGATGGACGAGGACGACCTGGAGGAGGGTGACGGAGACGCTGAGATGGACGATGCCGGAGCCGGCGGCGACGCAATGTTCGATGAGGACGATGAGGACTTCGATGAGGATGCTATGGATGGTGATGATGGTACGTGTTTGTGTCTATTTGGGGCCTGGGCAGTTGCAGCAGAGGGCACTGGCATGTTTACTTGCATCGTGGGTTTCTTGGATTGGCAAGGACCTGGAATGGGAGCTATCCTTCGCAAAGTTGGGTCCGCAGGTGTGGACAGGCGGGCCTGTGAACCTGCGCATTAAACAGCGAATCCATGCAGTTGTTGTTGTAACAATATACATCATTAAGGCTATTAACCGAGTTTGGTAGCATTTGGTAGCACCATCTGATCTTGCATTTGGATCCTCTGAAGACATCTTCAAGTCCAGGCACCTCCAATCCTGGGGCGACGTGATCGCGTGGTGCGCACGCCTGCAATGCGCAAATGGCCGGGATGAACGACGATCCATGCCATGCTGATTCTCTGCGTGCAGGTGACGGAGACATTGGCAATCTACACGTACATGACCTGCACGTTGACCAGGACCGTTCCGCAGCTCAGCTGCCGCCAGCAGGCGCAGCACCGTCACCGCCTGGTCGCGGCACTGCAGCCGCTTCGGCTGCAGCCGCAGCTGCACCCAGCCGCCCTGGCGGGGCCTGGGGAAGCCGGCCCTCCGCCGCAGCCGCCGCAGCGCCGCCGGCTGGTGGAGCCGGTCCCCCCGGGGCCTGGGCCGGCCCTGGCAACGGCAGCGGCGCAGCAGGCGGGGGCTTTGCGGCGCACGAGGCGGTCGCCGCCAAGCTGACATTTACCATGGGTGCTGACGAGCGTCAGACTCTACCTTCCAGCTGCACCGTGTTCCAGGCTATCCAGCAGAAGCACAATCAGCAGCAGGCGATAAGGGACGGTGAGGAGGACTGCGAGGAGGAGATCGGCCAACGACGGGGAAGGCGTCTGTGGGACGAGATCCACACGTTGTACTACCGTCCCGCGAGCCCTGCCGACACAACTTCGGAAGCGGCTGCGTCGGCGTCCGGCGGGGTTTGCTCGGGCGCCGGCAGTGGTGGGGCTGCTACAACGTCTACCTCCGGTGGCAGCAGCAGCAACAACAACCTGGGCCGGTGGGGCATCACCCCGCTGCGGGAGCTGCTACAGCTGCGGGTACCTGCGGACCTGTCCTGCACGCCAACGTGCAGGGAGGTGTTGGCGTTGTTGGCCCTGCTGGAGGCGGTTAATAGGTTGGGCCCACGCGCGTGTGCTGAGCTGGACGCGATAGGGGCGGGCGGGCCGGAGGAGGATAGCGCGGGGCCGCTGGAGGCTGTTCGACATGTGCCGCGCGACGAGTTTGTGTCAGCAAAGCTGTCCTCCAAGCTGGGCCAGCAGCTTAAGGTGCGGAGGAGCAATGTCGGAAGGGGGATCTGCTGCATTGCTGGGACAGATTCTCATCCTGACCTGTCTCCTCGCTTCCTCTCCAACGCATTTCCATTTCTCCTGATATGCGTGTTCCTGGTTTAATCAACCCGCTCCCCCACGCACAGGACGTGCTATCCATTTGCGGCGGTGGCATGCCCGGTTGGTGTGCTGCTCTGGCTGGGCCGTGCCGCTTCCTATTTCCCTTTGAGATCCGCAAGCGGTACTTTTACTGCACTGCCTTTGGCCTGGGACGGGCGCTGCAGCACATGCAGCAGCTGCATACGGCGGAGGCGGGCGGGGCCCCGGGGGCGGGGCACGGTGGAGGGGACCGGGACGGCAGAGAGCTGCGAGTTGGTCGCCTGCAGCGACAAAAGGTACAGAAGTCTTGAAACGGCAGCTGGTGGGGATGGGGGTAAGAATCTAAAACCTTCAGCGTCGGTGGGGCGGAGTGTGTTGGGTGAGAGCTGAAGAAGGAAGTGGGGGAGTAATTCCTGTTCCAGTCGCGGGGTTCTTTTTGTGAGGGTGCCGGTTGCCAATAGTGGCTTCTACTTCTACTCTCTCGAAGTTGCCAGTGGATAAGGGACGACGGAAGAAGGCGGAATTTGGTCTCCCAGAACCGCCGCAATGATAACCAACCTGAACGCCTTGAATGTCAAGCACAACTCTATCGAGAGCTGTGAGCGGGACCCGTGTGCAGGTCCGCGTATCCCGCAAGCGCATCCTGGAGTCCGCTGCCAAGGTGATGGAGTTGTACGCCCGCAGCCGTGCTGTACTAGAGCTCGAGTACTTTGGCGAGGTGGGCACCGGCCTGGGCCCCACGCTGGAGTTCTACACGCTGCTGTGTCACGAGCTGCAGCGCAAGGACCTGGCGATGTGGCGCCATGAGGAACAGGATGACACACAGCAGCAACAGGAGCCGCAGCAGCAACAGGAGCAACAGGAGCAACAGGAAGGGGATACGGAAGCTCCCCAGGAAGAGCCTGAGGCGATGAGGCTTGGCGAGGGGGAGGACGCGGAGGCGAAAGGCCTCCGCGCCTCTGCGTCGGCTTCGGCTTCTCCGGACACAATGGAGGTTGATGGCGGCGTTGGCGCGGCGGCGGCGGCGGCACCGCCGCCGCTGCCGCTGCAGCAGCGCCTCTCCGGGGCCGTTCAGGGCGCGTTAGCGACGGGCGGGTTGGTTTCTGTGCCGTCGCGCCGCGGCGAGGCTGCCACGCATGAGGAGTGTGAGTACGTGAACGCGCCATGGGGATTGTTCCCGCGGCCGCTGCCGCCGGCAGCGCGCAGCAGTCCAGCGGGTCTAAAGGCGGTGGAGCGCTTCCGGTTGCTGGGCCGCACGCTGGCTAAGGCGCTACAAGATAACCGGCTTCTGGACTTGCCGCTGAGTCATGTCTTCTACGCAGCAGGTGTGCGGTCGCAAAATATGGACAAGGGTGGGGGGGGCCTGTCCGGCTCCGTTCCCGTGTGGGCTAACCCGTGCGGGCGACTAACTAGCAAGGAGTTTGCAGCTCGCTGCCTGGACACCACCCGGTTTAAAACAATGTATCCGTTTCTTTTTTCTAGTGGAACTAAAAGCAGCCCCACACGAGTTATAGTGGACAGGATTGTGGCCTGTGTACAATGTAATCCCACTGCTTGCTGGCGCGACCTGTGATACCGTTAGAGTTTCAGCTCATGTGTACACCACACATCAGCAGCACAAACCCATTACGCAATTCTTCGCTCTTGCTGTTTCCCACCAGACCTTTTCAGCTGAGGTGGAAATACAATTCATGCATTCTGTCCCTGTTTGTCCCCATGCAATGCAACGCAGCTCTGGGCAGCCCGCTCGACATGTGGGACATTGCACGCATCGACCCCGGACTTGGAGCCACACTGGCCAAGCTGCACTCGGCGCTGGTGGCGTACAGGGCGGCGGGCGGCAGTGGGACGCTGCTGGTTGACGGGGTGTCCGTTGAGGATCTTTGCATTACCTTTGTGCTGCCTGGTACGGTGGGGCAGCGAGAGTAGAGCAGACACATGACTGTTGGCATGTTGCGCCGAACCACTGCAGGCTAACTCGGTCGGGGGGTTTGCATGAATGGCAGCTGCGGAGGCGGAGGACGGAGGATGGCCTCTTCGCTTCCCATCTTCGCAGATCCCCCAGACTGAGCATGTCCGAGCGCCCTCCTGAATGTCGCCGGACTCAAGGGGACGTTCATGGGTTAAGCAGAAAGGGCTGCTGCTTTTGTTGTGCAGCTGTCCATGTGATTGTCTCGAGGGTTTAGCCGCGTTGTTGTTGAGACGCAGTTCGCGCGGCGATATGCTGTGCGCTGCGTGTGTTGCAGGTCAGCCTGACTACCCGCTTCGCCCCGGTGGGGAGGAGCTGGTGGTGGGCTCAGCGGAGCAGCTGGGAGAATACATCGAGGCGGTGGTAGACGCCACTCTTGGCTCGGGCGTTGCGGCGCAGATGGCTGCTTTCCGGGAGGGCTTCAACGAGGTCTTTAGCCTCAGGTACGTGTGTAGTGAGTGTTTCACAGATCGGAGCATCTTGCAGGAGCTGCCGAGAATGAAAGGTGTTCCGCATATGCTCTGCGTTGTACTTCCCCAAGCTAGGGGGACAAGTGAATGTGAATTTGAACCGAGCCAGTCGGAGCTTTAGCACTCGTATGCATTTGTTGCCTTACAGCCTTGCAGCCTTGCCATGATGTGGACGTGCCGGCTGCCTATTGCTAAACGAAATCGTCTTCCTCTATCGGCCTTTCAGTAGCAGCTTCCGCTTATGGCATAACGTCCCGGCATACGATTCGATCGATTACTGACGCTTGCCCGGCCAACGGAATACGTCGCGTCGCGTCCCGTCACGTCCCTTGCCCCTGTGTCTACTTAATTCGCTGCCATGTCTCCGCAGTACGCTCTCTCTGTTCCATGAGGACGAGATCGAGGTCCTGCTGTGCGGCAGTGGGGAGCGCTGGACGATGCAGGTGCTGGCGGAGGCCATCAAGTTTGACCACGGCTACACAGCCAACTCTCAGCCTGTCAGGTCAGTTCGCTCTCCTTCGTAAAAATGGTTTGAAGAATCTGGTCGTGTGTGGGAGCACAGTGGGCCAGTACTAAAGCCGCACGTCCGTAACACGTACGTGAGGCCAACAGCAGTAACAGTAGACACAGCGGTGAGCGGTGTTGGCTGCGTGTATGAAGAGAGTTCGCATATTCTCGCATGTCGTTTTAGTGAATGGTGCTGTCACTGTCCACCTGCATGTTTCATGACGGCGACAAAACTTGTTAAACTCGAAGGGTCTGTCGCCCCGCCTACTTTCCACTCTATTTCAGGTTCCTGTTGGAGATTTTGTCGGGTCTGGACGCGTCGGAGCAGCGTGCCTTCCTGCGTTTCGTCACGGGCTGCCCCCGCCTGCCACCCGGAGGGCTGACCGCCCTGCAGCCGCGACTGACCGTGGTCCGGAAGCACCCCAGGTGGGCAGAGGGGAGTCGAGTCCTCCTTACAGTAGTAGGACGCGGGAGGGGCGATAAGCGGAAGGGTTATGAACCTTATGAACCGTGAAGATGATGTGATTGCCAAGTTTAACAGCAGCAGCAGCAGCGGCCATTTTCTGCTGCTTCCGTTGTCTCGTCCGTTGGATCGCGCTCGCACTGACAGTTACCAGCCCCCTTGCCGTTTCCTGTGGGATTGTGCGCAGCGGCGGCGAGGGCCCCAGCAACAACCCCACCCCGGTCGGCAGCTTTCAGGAGGCGGGCCTGAGTCTGGGTGCGGCCACGGCGGTGTGCGCCGCGGATGCCGACCTGCCCAGCGTCATGACGTGCGCCAATTACATCAAGTTGCCGCCGTACAGCAGCAAGGCCGTCATGTCGGCGCGCCTCATGTACGCCATTAGGGAAGGCCAAGGCTCTTTTGACCTATCATAGCCTCGCCGCCGAGTCCACACGGGGGCTTTTTTTGGCCCTGGTGGCCATTGTGTCAACCGTAGCAACGAAGCCAGCGGGGCGAGATCGTAACCAACGGGAGCTCCAGCAACTCCGGGAAGCTCTGGATGCTGTGGCCACCAGTTCCGCCGCCGGCCTGACCCACCAGCCGGATTATTGCGGTCTCTTGTTGTATTGTATTGCTAGCCCGCAGTTGCCCCTGAGTTGCGGATCTTGAGGATCTTGAGGAGATATTAAAGAAGGAAGCATCGCAGCCAGTAGCACACCGGAGCAGCGGGTATGGTGGGCTGCAATGTATGATGTGCCAGGAGCAGCGCCCGGTGAGGTACACCCTCCCCCAGGTAGTACGCAGACCTACAGCTACATAACATCAGCCGCATGCAGACCTGTTGCCGGGTACCCACCGCACTTTCGGAAGATATGCGGGGACTCCAGCGACCGCGTATGAGGTACCGGCACAAGATATACCCCATCGCGCTCGATATGCCGGATATGCACTCGTGTGTCATCGGCGTTTGCGGCCAGGACAGAGGTGCGCATGGCAAGTGGACAGGAAGGGAGGTGCCTTCCGTGCCCCGCTAGGACTTTTTGGCGTGTTGATTACAACACGGTTTGTAGCCTATCAGGTAATAGGTCTTTATAAAGAGGGAGGAGGAGCTGTTGGCATGGCACGCATTCTGGCGAGTGTTGCCACAAGACCCTGTCCATACATCAACAGGCGCTTGGCTGAGGAATGGCTTCTGAGGCTCCAGGTTAAGATTCACTGGCCCGAGTGACGTCCGCATGTGTTCATGTGGGTTTCATGCACGCTTTCTTTTCATCTCATAATGTTGATGGTGGCTTGGCATATCCCTTCCCGTCCTTCGTCGTCGATGGCGTCGACATCCTAATGAACAAATAAGCCCGTCCAAAGCTGAGAGGTGGCCGGAGCCAGTATGCGTAGTTATATGCCGGCATGTGGAGCGCGTGGGTCTTCATTTCATGGAGCATGTGAACGAAAGAGGCGTAGCGCCGTTTGGTTGCCGCTGTCCATGTGGATCTTTGCTTCTCACGCCTTTTGCAAGACAGAAACGATGAAACGCTATTCACGCTTCGACATTGTTGTTGTGTTTCTTCCGCTGTTTCTTTGTTTGTGTACCTGCATGTGTATCTTGTGTGCGTTCGGTGGTGTTCGGTTGTGTTTGTGCTTTGGTGTATGCGTGCTTTGTATGCTTATAGGCTGGAGCCCTCCACCCCAAGCCCGAAGGCTTGCTAGCCCAGCTCTAGCCCCGCAGAGCTAGCCCGCTCCCTCGGAGACGGTGATGTCCTCCTTTGCTGATTGCGGCTCCTGCCAGGTCTGCATTGGAGCCAGTCGGCCAGTCCAGCAGAAGGCCGATCGGGGTTTTAGTTGGGTAGTTTCCTAGTTGTCAGGCTGGGGTGTACATTGTTCCGAGGCGTAAGCCGAACAGTGGCCACTGAAATGTGTGAAGCCCCTCGAGCCACATGGCTGTAAATTGATACAGGTTGACGTCGTACTGCATGAAGTAGCATTACTCATTGTATGTTAGTTAACGGTAAGTTGCCTGGCGAATGCGCGTAAGATATGCTTAACTCCACCCTTAACTCTGGATTGATGGGGCTCGGTGCACTTGATCAGGGTTCAAGGGGAGAGCGTGTAGGCGACTTCTTTCTTGCGCCAAGATAGAGCAGTCAGTCTGCATACAGAACTATCCGTTTGGCTAACGAAGATGAAGTTGATGTAGCAATAAGGATACCTTGTCTCTGCGGGCTGACGTTGCCGCTTTGTCATGACGATTGCGCCGTACGGTACAGTAATGCTGTACTGGTGGACGAGCTCGTGGGTTATTATGTGAAATGTTTTCAGTTTCTGTTAAATGTTTCGTAATGAAGGATAACAAACGAAACACCCACAAAGACGTTGAGCAGTTGATCCCTTGTTGGCAAAGACAACTCCATCAGCTCCATGACCGCCAGCAGTGAAACTCCGACCTGCGCTCTTTGCGGTGCTGTAGCATGTATGGAATGCGTAGCTTGCATAAGATCTGGCAGCTCCGGGTTTATGTGCGGAGCTACGTGCCTCCGCCAACACTTCAATGTCCACCGGGACGATAAGCCACAGGAGCATACATCGTCAAAAATAAACCCGCCTCAGACACCCTCACGTCACAGGTACGTTAGACTATACCATGGCGCGCTTTCGCGTATTTCAAGCGAGCGTAACAAACCACTGCTTTTTTACTTTCATGCATTTCAGGCAGACCTATGGCGCTCCTTCCCATCAGAGCCCATTACTGCGGGAAATTCCGCACCCGCGAGCAACGCAATACAGGACACCGCGGGACGCTTTTTGGTCGTGCAGCTTAACTGCCCATGCAACCTTTGTTCCGCCTAATTCTCGACATGTTTCCTCGACAGTGTTGGTCAAGCAGCGGTGAGGGTTTTTGGAATTACAGTTGCACTGAACAATTACGCGTCTTGACTATGGATGGATTTTTGGTGATGATGGCTAATTGTATGCTGTTACGTGTATAAAAATGCAAAGTCGCGCTAGCCAGAGCATTGAGCTGGCAATGACAAATGAACATCGCGTGTCCGTTTCTTTGATATGGGATTGTGGCTTTGACGTGGGAGTATCGCACATGGTTGATATTTTGCTGGATTGCAAAGAACTGAACTTGGATTGCATGGAGATTTTGTGTGGGACAGAAAGTGCTGGTGACGTTACAAGTAATGGCTGCCCAACCCTAGGCGAGGTGCTGCTGCTGTTGTCCAGTTGTGAATATGCTATCGCCGGGTTTGTTGGACTAGGGCGCTCATTCACCTACTGCGACATTGTTCCGGGCGACGCCTGCGTGGAGCGGACTGTTTCCCGCTATTTGTCGACTACCTCCTCGTCGAGCTTGAACTTTTTTCGGATGACTGGATCGTTTTTGAGGTAGGCCATGTCGACCTGCAGTAACGGACGACTTTAGCGTGCGATGAGTGGAGAGTTGACGGCAAGCGGCTGAGAGAGCCTGACTTCACACCATCAAGGCTGCCGACCAGCAGAGTAATATGCCACTTAAGATGAGGTTGCGCCGCTGCCACGGCTGAGCCTTTTTCCAAATGTCCGCAAGCCGGCCCATCTCGCCTGAATGGGGTTGCCAGCTATTGATAAGCGTAGCGGTTCTGCATTGGCAACATACTTGTTGCGCATACAGAGTAATATGCTTGTGTCGGAATGTTGCGTGGACGACCGGCGCGAAGGTTGTGACGACGGTAAATCGGTACAGCGAAATCGTTCGTACGAAGTGGGAGACGGACAACGACATTGTGGAATCCAAGAGTTTACATCCGATCCTACATTCGAGGTGGGGTGACAAACGTCATCCATTTACACGTGCACGATAACATCCAGTTACACGTAATCGTTTCCCCTCCCGCTCTTTTTAATACTACCTCTTCTCCCCTGCTGCTCCTCTCAGTCTCAACAATATGTTCTCCCAGGCTTATGCATCATAAAAGTGTACTTGAGCCATCAATAATCACAACATCACAACAAGCGGAACATGCAACATTAGGTGTGAAAAAATGTCTGCATAGTCATGATGGTGTTATGATGTTTTGACGGTACGCTTTGAAGTAGTGAGCACTTGCGTCGTCCCCCAACTCGCAATACCGCCCCTCCATATCCATATGCTGTGCTTGTCTAAATTTGACAACAGAGCGAAGCTGACGACCACCACCACCACCACCAGGTGCGCTGTAATGCGGTGCAAAACCTACTCGACCTATCTGCACTTTACTCCCTCCAAACCCGAGACATAACACAACAGAAATTACTTGGACACGCAACGTCACAAAAAAAGGGAAGTAAAGGTCCACGATAATCGCCCAATAACCGCTCAAGCATAAAGATATAAGCTTTGCGAAGCATTATGCACGACCACGCTTTATAATCGTGTTTTAAACGCAACGTTGGCCCTGTCCATAAACGAAAGCACCCGTACTTCTGATCTCTAGACGGGGACCATTTTGTCTTGGAAGGCCCGCTACGGTCGTCACGCATCGGCACCACCCGTTGCTGCTGACCCACGAGTCACCTCCATGTAGAGGCGGTGCCATTCGTGCATATTCGCCTCCTCCTGGTAGCTCTTGACGTGCAAGTTGTTGTCCAGGGTACCCTCCTGTTGGGCACATGAAGTAACGGGGCATGACACAGCGGCCTTGCCGGCGAGCGGTGCAGAGTTCACCACCAACCACAACCACCACAACCACAACCACCACAACCACAAATCGGTGAAGTTGGACGTTACCCCCCTCGTGCAGTGTGGTGACTCACCAAGGGGGAAAGAAGTGTCCCTCCACGCGACCGCACCACTCTCGTATTCAAAAACACACATGCACACGCGCACATACATACATACACACACACACACACGCGCACATACATACATACACACACACACGCGCACGCACACACACACACACGCACCTGCAAGATGGCGCAGAATTCCGCAACCTTTTGCCTGGCTCGCCCCCGGCTCTGTAGCAACTGAATACCGGTTGCCGCCGCGTTGTACCGCACCACGAACTCGCACGAGGGCACGTCCAGGCCCTCCTCCGCAGCGGAGGTGGCCACCAGCACCTTGCAGCCGGTCTCCTGAAGAGGGAAGGACCGCAGAGAGAGCGCAGTTCCCGAGTTGGGGTGTGTGGGGGTGGGGGTGGGGGGTGCAAGACAAACCACGGACGGTTGAAGCCGATTTGAGGGGAAAGGGGGGAAAAGGTCGTTCAGGTGCTGCGGGAGGAGGAGGATGAGCGCGGCGGCGGGGGCTATATAGAGCTCAGCAGGAACGGAACGGAACGGAAAAAAACAGCGTAGCACAGGACAGCACAGGACAGGACAGCAGCATCTTCAGGACCACAATTCAGAACACTACTAAATCTTATCAAGCTAAGAGCGAACAGGAACCGGACAAGGAATCGGACAGCAATCAAACCCCCCCGCCCCCCGCCCCTTGGTGACGTGGCCCTTGCGGTTCTTCGTGGTCGCCTTCACCTCGGCGCTTTCGCCATTCCCCCGCCGCCGCCGTCGTGTTGTTTACCTTGAACAGGTTCAGCACCTGCTGCTGCTGCGTGTCGCTCATTCCGCGGCCGTGGCGGTCTTGCTCGGGGGCCAGACCCGCGCGCTTCCCCGTGGTGTTGTTGTGACCGATCAGCTCCAGAACCTGTATGTATGTGCGCGGGTGGAGGAGGGCGAAGAAAGGGGGGAGGGGTACGGCTGACCGTCAAGCGGTTTGTGGTGGGGTGGGAGGTGGGAGGTGGGAAGTGGGAGTAGTCAAAGGATTCATGGCCGATGGCCCCACGCTCTCCCCACCTCCCCAGACCCGCGTTCACGTCCTCCGGGAAGCGGCCCCTTGGCTCGGTCACGCCAGCCCCCCTCAGCCCCTTGGGTCGGTCACCCAAATCATATGAACGTCCAACTCCCCACACCTTACAAACCGGCCTCCCATCGCCCGCTTCCCCCTTCCTTTGGCCCGAAATGCTTGTTTAATGTTTATGAAATACGCCAAAAATCAGTTAAAGTCACAATCCTTTTTTGACAACCCTTTAGGGGATATCATCATCCCTTAAAGGGGAACTAA